CAGTAATTTAGTTGTTGATGGAATTCCATTACTTTTATTTAATTATTTGTTTTATTTTATCAAAGTTTTGCCAGTAAGCAAGATGAGGGGTCCCTTGCAGAACAGGCAAAAATCATTGTGACTTCTAATAAGGATTGGATGGGTTTTAGGTCTTCTGAGGTGATCTGGTTATGATCGATCCTACTTGAACCACAATCGATCTTGACATTTTACGATCGATAAATATTTGAATTTAAAGATTATAAAATATCTATCTAAGTAGCGTTCGACGAGTCTTTAAAGATTCGAATTCGTCAATAATAGATTCCAAGTCAATTTTCCAAACAAGCTCCCTTTCAAGGTTGACGTTCATGCAGTCAGTAAGAAATCCATCACCAATCATGCTACACATCACTTTTTTTACACGTTTCATGCTTGGGTAGGAGGCTGAGGTGGGCTAATACTATATATATATGTGTATATTTTGGTGGGCTACAACACACCCTCTATCCACCTTTGCCAATGAGGGATCTGGCAGGAGCTTATACTGAGAGGTGAATGATTTGAGTTTGAAAAAAAGGATGTAAATTAGTAACTAGGGAGGAGAAGTCCAATGATTGTTGGAAATTAAGCTATCAACTCCAACAAAGGTGTCGAGTTGAAGAATTTTCATAGCATTGAGCTCCAACTAAGCAACAAGAGGTCCATTTGGCAGCCAATAATCCACCCACATCTGTGTGTCCTTGCCAGTCCCCACCCTTGTGTCTTATAAATCCCCTAGCCATACTCCTGAGACTAAGCAACCTTCTCCACACACCTGGGCATAAAGAAGAAGTTTTGATCATTTTGGGCCAATTAAACCATGCAATAAAAAGCATTTACATGTGTGTGTGTGTGTATATATATAAATACATATTTATGTTAGTAATTATATATTTTTGTTTTTAATATTTTACAAATACTAGTTCTCACAATCTACCTTGTGAAAAAAAAAATAAATAAAAAATGAAAAAAATTCATCCTCGAAATAAAAATTTATGTGCCATCAACCTTTTCTTCTAAGCGATGTGGGACAACACAATCATCAACTTTGTCCATGCTACCCCATTTTCGACTTAAAATTGGTCCTGATACCACTTTGTCACACCCCAATTTTTGAGACATGATAAAATAATATAATGCGAGTAAAAAATAAAACTGTATGTAATGAAATAAAATAAATTCTTTTACCATTAAACATATTCTTCTTTCTTATTACGATTTTAACATATAAAAAAATCTCATAAAACTCATCAAGTGAGCCTTAATTCATTGCTTTTGAAATAATATTGGGATGAACAAAACTGTCCATTAGGAAAAGAACTTTAAATTTTTATATACAAGAAGATATAACCATCTATAATTAAAAGCAAAATTAAAATATAAAATAAACTTAAAATATAGTAACTCAATTCCAACAAGTTAATTAAAATAATTTCTTATATATTTTGGTCATTCTTGCAGCGGGCTGCTCACCCCCAACTAAAATTTTAGAACAATTCTTACAATTTTACATGTACGAACACACATAATCAAAATTTATCGATGAACCATGCATGATATACTTCTCTCTACAACATTTCACAACAACATAACCACACCCACATATATATATAAAGCAAATTAAATAAAAGAATATATATATAAACAAATATTTCTTCCAGACCTTTCATATATAAATCAAGAGAAATACCCTACCTTGCCCCTACCATTCTTACTATAAGGCCCAACAAAAATAAATAAGGATTAGTCCATACTTGGCCCCCAAATAAAACTTTCATTGGGCCTTTAACAACTTTAAACTCATATAAAAAATTTAAGCCCAAATCCAACAACATATACATGCTTATTATAAGATCAAGATTTTTTTTTTTTTTTTTTTTTGAATGGTAAATTCAATTGAAAATAAAAAACCCAAAAAGGGGAACATGGCCTTTGGCCCAAGCAAGTTACAGAGAAAGCCCATAAAAGCGGCCCAAGAAATGCAAAATATTTGTTGAACAGAAACAGAATTACAACTCCGGTTATGCTCTAGTAACAGACCACCATTGGGGGTTTTGTTCCTCGTTTGGCGGCCAAACAACAATTAATCCGGCGGCACAGGAGGAGGTCTGATGAAAGAGCCAGGAAGATCCCATTCATCCAAAATGTGTCTGGCAGTGTGGGAGTCCTTGACAGAGAATGTTGAAAGCTTTTGCCTAACAGTGGAAAGAATACAATTGAGCATGGCATTAGCAGAGATGGAGGTTCCCTTGAAGAATCTTCTATTTCGCTCCATCCATATGTTGTAGATTAGGCCTGAGACACATAGTTTTCGAAAAATATTCCTGGGTTCAATTCTATCTTTCCAAACTTGACTTATTTAAATTTCAAATAATTTAAAAAAAAAATTCATGTGGGACAAGCACTTTCCATATTTTGCATACCCATTTAAGCTTATCAAACACCTCACTGAAGCTAATTTCTCATTCACCCGGAAACGGATTTGATAAAGTAAATATACCACGTTCCTCTCCTTGCCGTCTATAAATCCGCAAAAAACTCTTAATGGAATTTACTTCAAATTTCATCCAACGTATCTGTTTTGTATGCCCCGTTTCCAACAAAATGTCGGTTGGTCACTGCCGAACAAGGACCATGGTAATGTTCATTCTCAATCGTGACACTAGTGGGCGAGGCCCATAATAAAATATGATTGAAAAATATGTGTATTTGTAATAGTAGGGATACAATTTTCTTTTCTTGTTTAACAATAAAAATTTTTGAATACAGATATGCTCGGGTATAATAATACTTATTATTTGTTTAAAAATATAGTCATACATAAACTAATTTTCTTATCCTACTAGCTTTAAAGAAACATTAAAGCAACTTAAGTTGTGAAATACTAATTAATTCCGGAGTCATATGATTTGCTCATAACTAGTTGGTTTTCTTCTTAACTATTTTTTTTGTTGGGGTCTTGAATTTTGACTTTGTAGTAAATTGTTCAAGCAATAAGTTCATATAACATTACTTACTTCGAAAGTCTACTGCAAAATCTCCCCCAAACTGCTTCATTAGAGACAAGTCCATAAAATATTACTTACCATATGAAAAATGATACAGAAGATTTGAACTGAAGTCTTCTATAAAAATCTTTGTCAAGATTACGTCGCTAAAAGTTATATGAAGAATGATATAAAATTCTCAGAACTCACACGTCATGCCAATAGTTGTGCAGCACGCAAAACGAGGTGAAAAATGAATAAAGAAAATTTGAAAAATGCCGAAAAAATCAAGGACGTCACGTCTTCGGTAGAAATCCTTGTCCCGAACCGCGTTGCTGGAAGTAAGTTCATACAACGATACTTACTAAATGAAAAATGATTGAGAAGACTTGAGCTGAGGTCTTCTACAAAAATCTATGTCCAAAGTCCAAACCACGTAGTTAGAAGCTACATGGAAAATAATACAAAAGACTTGAAGTCTTTTGTGGAAAACCTCAAAAGTCTTCTGTGAAATCTCTATCCCAAACAGCGTCACTAGAAGGAAGCCCGTAAAACATCACTTATCATATGGAATATAATACAAAAAACTTGAGCTGAAGTCTTCTACAAAAATCTATATCCAAGTTACACGTAGATGGAAGCTATATCATAAATAAATAAATAATAATTAAGACTTTAAGTTTTGCTGTTCAAATAAGGTATACAGAAATCATTGCAACCACATAATATGAAGTGTGGCCGTCGCGGTGCCACGGGGAATTTGAGTGAATTGGCATTGATGATTGTTTCTATGGGGGATTTTTGGGCGGAGAGATTGGGGTGAAGAGGAAAACTTGGGTTGCCATAGCCATAGAGGGGTGAGAGAGGAAGTTGCCAGTGATGGGGTTATTGGTTTATAGGTCATTGTCACAATTGGCCCCAATTTTCACAACCATATTTCAGACCCCACACAATGTCATGGAGAGGACTTTGTCTCGAGGATAAAAATAAAATGTAACTATCGTGAATCCTGCATCATATTTATATATCACAAAAATTCTTAGGTTTTGTTTGGTTAGACAAAATAAATAAATAAAATAAAAAGTGAAGTGAATGAGAAGAAAATTTATTTTCTAGCATGTTTGGTTAAGGTGGAAATTTATTCTAACAAATTGTATTGAATAGCATAAAAATTACTACTTATATTTGTAGTTTTAATAATTGTTTTATATATTTTTTTTTCTTTAGATTTTTAATTTTCTACCCATATAAATTAAGAAAATTTTGAATACTAAGCACCATTAGAATGATGTTATAATTACAAAAATACCCCTTCTTGGACATTTAAGAAAAATTAAGTTTTTCTTAAAATAATTTTTGTTTTAGGAGCTCACTTCACTTCAGATGTAATGTCTAGATGTTGTTCCTATATTTTGCTAGAATGAACACCCATTGTTGTGCCAAACTTGGATTCAATGAGAGAGAAAATAGAACCCTAAAATGATGTTTGAAAGCTTAAGGATATGTCATCGTGGTGGCAATTGGGGAAGTGTTAGTTGGACTTGGATCCTCTAAGTTATCCTAAGCTGAATTCGTTACAGATTAACACTGTGACATTTAAAATCTATCTACTGCTGGTATTAAACCACGTCAACTAATTTAAAGAAAATTTAAAAACTATACCATTTTGAGATAAGAAAAATTTACCAAAGTTTAAAAACTGTACATTCTAACTCAATGTAGAAGTAAACCCTACCAGTAGGTCACACCATTTAAACTCTTAACTCAATTGTTTCCCCTACTTTTTCAAACTCACACCAAATCAATCAAATTAACAACTTTTTTAATTCAATAAGGATTCTTGAAACTAACAGATTTACTCATGTCATTAATTCAATAAAAAATTTTCAAACTAACATAATTACTCATGGAAATATTTTTGTATAAATCAATAAACATTCTTGAACCCAAATTAACAGAATTATAAATTCGAAAGTTTTCAACATATTATATCAAAATAAACTATCCAAAGTACATTCTTTCAAAACTAAACCAACCAAATTACATTATTTCAACACACCAAATTAAACAAACCAAATAACATTCTTTCAACACACCAAACTAAACAGACCAAATTATATTTTTTTTTGGGTAAGTAAAATCTAATTAATAAACGAAGAACTGTATAGCAAGGGCAAAACCCAACAAAAGAGAAAGCCCTAGGGCAAGACAAAGGGCTAAACAGACCCAACCAAAACAGGAAACAACCTCCCAACCGAGCCACTACAAATCAAAAGCAGCAAGCTGGAACGAGGAGAGAGGGACAATCAAAAGGATTACAAAGCAACCTGTGGAGGTATGGCATTGATCACTGAGCTCAGAAGGCTCCAATCAGCAGCGATAGACCTCGAGGCTGCACAATCCCTATATTCAACGGTTGCGAGCTTACACCGCACGCAGCCATCAAATTACATTATTCCAAACCAAAGTACGGAAGTCTTAAAAAGGGAGATGAATAGTTCACACAAAATACATTAAAAACCACTCCGAAGCCTCTAGAAAGGCTTTCCATGAGAATTACATGAGTTGTAGAGCTGAAAAGAAAATGATATAAATGTTAGACCAAATTAAAGAGTATAAATTAAAGAAGAATATTCTTGAAAAACAAGCGGAGAGCAAAAAGAAACACTAAACTTTTACATAAATTAGTAAATGTAACACTCGAGCTCATACTATATATGCCTTGGCAAATATCCATAATGAGCTCAGTTTTGATTAGTAAATATAGCATACAAGCTTATGCATTGATTTTTGATTAGTTAAAAACACTCAAGCTCCTACTATATCTTAAAAATTGGAATGATTAATATAATTGAAAGAGTGCCAAAAGGTTTATCTTTTCTTCTTTCCCGTAGGTGAAAAATATAAAGGCACAGGAATAGACAATAAAAAAAATACATAAAAGAGATCATTTAAAATTCCATATACTCCCTCCGTCCCAAAAAAGGCATATTTATAGAAATTCGAGTTTTTAAGTGGACATACATTTAATGCATTGTCCCCTTTTAAAATTACCAACTTGTCCCTTCTAATTTAAATATATAGTTACAAAGTTTGAAATTTTTTAAAAAGATAAAGGACAATTTTAAAAATATAGAACTTATTTGCTTTGACTTTTCAAAGAGGACAATTAATTTGGGACATGTAAAAAGAGATAAATAGACTACTAATTTGAGATGGAGGGAGTACTCAATTGAATAAATTAGTTAAATATAAAATTCGATCTACTCGGTGAACATATATAAATTCATTAAGTAATAATCTAAGTACCCATTAATTGAGATATCAATTTAAAATTTAAATCTAATCACCAATTAAAGAACCGTACACGCAGTGATTTATAAACACCCACACAAAGAGTGATATATAAACTCCACACACACGCGGTGATGATATATGGACACCCACACGAATCTTTTAATTTGAAGAAGTAAGAGAGAGGGAGAGAGGGAGTGTGTGTGTGTGTGTGAGAGAGAGAGAGAGAGAGAGAGAGAGCACTGATCATAGGACATAGCACTAGTGGACTGCCACGGTGGTACTTGGTAGGTATGAAGGAAGAGAGGTGGAGGAAAGATGAGAATGAACAAATTTTTTTGGTTTGGTATAGAGGAGATAAATAGATAAAGGAAAATATGATAGATAAGTCATCTTTCCTCTTTTACAAATTTTCATCCCTATAAATGGATAAAAAAAAAGACAAGTAAAGCTATTATGTAAGTTTTAAATTACGATACTATCATTTATAAATTACAATATTACATCTACTAATGAATATAATGGTAAAAAGAAACATAAAACTACATATAGATATAGGTATAGTTATTGAGTTAGCCGTCCTAAATAATAAAATTATCTATTTTAAAAGTCTATTTTTCAATTTGATTGATTTCAACAAAATAATTACAAATGCATCAAAAATTATTATTAAAGTCCCAAATACACTCTTTGTAATCTAGTTTGCTTTTTTGCTGTTGAGATGTATGACGTTGGTTACTGTTTGTTTCCTTCTTTAGTAAAATTTGTAGTGAAACCAAATTTACAAAATTATGAAATAAAATTAAAAAGTAAAATAAAAAAAACATACCAACAAAAACCTACCAATAAACATACCAATATTATGCTGTAAAAGTCTAATTAAAGATATAAAACACTCTTTGAAACATAAAAATTATAATAAGATTTTATGGTGTACCAATATTATGGTGCAAAGGAATATGACTTATCAAATATGACAATTGTTTTGAGAATGAAATATTTGTATTTGCTACATTATTTTGTTGGGATCGTGTGATACCCCTTGTGTTCTTAGCAAAATAATATAGTTTTTTAATAATACGTTTATTTTATTTTGCTGTTTTATTTTATTATATAATCTTGTAAATTTGGTCTCATTATAAATATACATGAAATCAATTTGAAAAGATAATTAGAAAAACTTTATTTGATATATATATATATATATATATATATATATATATTGATAATTAATCAATTTTATTAAAGAAGGAATCAAGCAGCACCTAAAGAGGCATATATGTGACAACCAAAAAGAAGTCAAATTACAAAGAGGGTATTTAGGACTTTAACAATAATTCTTGATGTATATGTAATTATTTTGTTTAAATCTATTAAATTGAAAATAGACTTTAAAAATAGACCATTTTGTTATTTAGGACTCTTAATTCTGCCTATGTGTAACTTTCCCTGCATCTATAAATTGATATAATGGTAAAAATAATTTAAAACTTTATTCCCTAGTCTCCTAATCAATACAACAATTTGTTAGTTGTTGAATTTTATTTTATTTTATTTTATTTTATTTTATTTTATTTTTTTTTTTGTTTAATCTAGCTAAGAAATGACACAATCTCTTCTAGATGTCTCATCTATCCCTCTTTCTCTCCTTTTTATTTAAATATTTTCCTACAAATCAATCTTGATAAAGACATAAATAATACTTACCTAAGTGTTATCTGAGTTAGTTGCGATTGTTGATTATCTTCTCCAAGATCTCCTTCCTCCCATTCATTACATTAACTCTGCACGTCTCAGTATGCTCGCTCAATTCCTGAATGGTTTTCATAAACCCACTCAGCTCTTTCTTCATCTCTTCCATAGTCTGCCTCACAGCAGCATCTTCTGTAACGGCAAAAACAGCATTTTCCAACAGTGACTCAAACTCATTTTTCAATTTATCCACAACTGCTCGAATGTTTTCTAAGTCAGCTTTCCCAATGAGAATCCAAAAGTTTATTGAACTCGTTATATCTAACCGTCCTTTCACCTCTTTCTCATAACTCATCCAAAGGGAATTCATCCATCCACCCATTGACCCTAACCCGGCAGCAGTGACAGCCCCCAAGACCGCCACAAACGGTGGTGCAGCAATTGCGGCTGCCACAAAAGAACATATCAGAACAGAAGCACAAGTCGCACCAAAAATGACATTCGATACAATCCTCCAAGTATTCATTGACTTCAACTTCTTATCAAGCTTTTTCTTCTTTTCTCGCACTTTCTCTAACATTGACTTCTGCATTTCATAGACAGATGTTAACATGGAGGAGAACTCTTCGGTAAACGGGCTACCTGTCGTCTTGAAATTCTCCAATAATTTTAGCGTCTTCGAGTAAGTTTTCCTCTTCCCATCAACCCTTTCTTTCTGTTCTTCCTCAAATTGCTCTATAGCGACTTGAATCTTGGAATGGCTTAATCGGGCATGTTTGAGGCACTTCTGGAGAGCATTACAGACTTGCACAATCTGATAACTGTAATCCAAGTAGTCAATCACGAGATCGTACATGTCATCATTCTTCAATATGTCAAGTTTGAATTGGAGAAGGAGTTCGGCCACTTCTTGAGTCGTATTGACGAAGCAGCCAGTGAGCTCTTTCACTGAATTCAGAGAGAGTGGCCCATCCCGGGCCGACCCATTTACGAAGGTGTCGATGAATTGGGTGGTGCTTTGTTGGAGTTTGGAATCGTAGTACTGAACAAATGGGTCTTCTCGACACGCGACCTCATAGGAGCTCACTTCGGACGCGAGGTTTAGATATTGTTGTTCCTTTGTTTTGCTAGATTGAGCACCCATTGTGGTGGCAAACTTGGATTCAATGAGAGAGAAACTAGAAAACCCTCAAAGGAAATTTGAAAGCTAGCTTGGGGATATATATATATATATATATATAAGATATAATGGTGGTGGCAATCTTGGATTCAATGAAAGAGAAATTTGAAAGCTTAGGGATGTGTTAGATATTAAGATAGGGAGTAGGTATGAGGATGATTGCCATGAGCTCAATTTTTCAGCTGTAATGAGAGAGTGAGACGAGAGTCTAGCCAGATGAAAAAAAAAGATGGAAATTGTTGTGTATAAGAATGAAGTTCATCCCCGTTTAAATATGAAAAATGCTACTTGGGCGAAGACTTCAGCAGATATCCCAAACCGCGTAAACAGTGAAATTAGAAGCAAGTCTATGAGAAATTATACAGAAATTTCTATTCCAAACCAAGTCGCTCAAGTCTATGAAAAATTATACTGAAATTTCTATTCCAAACCATGTGGCTAAAGTCTTCAACAAAAATTAATATTTCAAACCACGTATCCAAACCACGTGACTGGAAATCATATGAAAATTTATACGAAAGACTCTTTTCAGATTTTTTTTTGGGTTTGAATGGAAACACAAACACGCATTATCATCAAAACATCCGCGGAAGGCTTTGATTTTCGATCCGTGCTGCATTAATTACGTCTGTTACAAGCAAGTTCCAGCCCCAAAGGGGACGGCAGGGCGGAAGAATATGCCAAAACATACCCAGAAAAAAGTCAAAGTCACTGTTTTCTCAAAGCCCAGCAACAATTTTTTGGGCCTACATCCAAACTTAATCCTACAACAAGGAAACACTTAATCCCCAAACCCAATTTAATCTTTATCATTGTGAGCTAAAAATAACACACAGGCCCAAAGTTCAAATTCCAACACCCAATTTCTCCTGGACCCTTGTACAACCAAACCCAAAGTAATGTTCATTCTTAATCATTGTGATTGGAGAGGAGGCCAGTCAAAATTGGCTCTTTTTTGGCCAATTTGGGCAAGCTAGGACCATGTCTCATTATTATTAATATTATTATTATTATTATTTTACGCACCATTCAAGTTAGGAGTACGATTTGAAAGTGAGATCTCAAAGACTTACCTCTCAAATCTCTGTCAATGCCGCTATATCCCTAGAGATGACCATGTCTCATTATGGCTGTACCACCAACAACCATTTCAAATATTTGTTCCTTAGGAGAGTCCCAAGTGCCAATTCAGGTGGGGTGGACCCAACTATTGCCACTTTTGGAGCTTCCCCGGTTTTCCCCTTTGCGTGATGCCATGACAAATTTGAGTGATTTTGCAGTGGTGAATGGCATTTTTCCATGGGGGCGGCGACACGGTCACCGGAATTTTGGGTGGACAGAGTTGTGGTGAAGAGGGAAACTTGAGTTGCCATGGCCATAGAGGGATGGAGAGAGGAGGTTGTTAGTTGTTAGTGATGGTGGTTATTGGTTTACGGGAGTATATGGACAAGGTCAATATTTGTGCAGTGAGTTTGAGAGATCTTAGATGGGTGGTGGGGATGTGGGTATTGGATAAAGTGATAGCGCTTGGACCAATTGAAATGTGTTATCTCATAGTCATTAGACAGTCTTACCCACACCTCAACCTTAATTGGAAACAAACATTCAACCTCGTTTTGATAATGTTCGTACATTAAAAAAAGAAAAAAAGAAGTGAAATAGCCGACAATGCATGCTTACATATGTCTATTTGATTGTAGTGTTACGTAGACAAGTTTAGTTATCTCATACGCTAGAAAAGTTGTGAAATAGTAATTCTGGAGTTACACGGTTTGTTCATAACTAGTTAGTTTATATCATAATTGTTTTTCTGTTAGGGTCTTGAATTTTGACTACATGTGGTAAAATTGTTCAAGTCGCAAAGAAGTACCTCCAAAAAAAATTGGTTTGAATAACATTGTTTTACTAAGAATTGTCATTTTTTTATTTTTATTTTTATTTTATTCTTTCACCAGTTATGCTATCAACTCATTTGAAACCACAGGTAACACATTGGATAAAGTAAAATTTCAACAAGTGAACACTTTAATTTTATTTTTTACATGCGAAGAAATTTAAGAAAATTTAAGTATTAATATATTATTTTTATTTTTGTTTTCTTTTGATTTTTAAATTTCAACACATAGAATTAAGAAAATTTTGAATGGTAGGCCCCATTAGAATGATGTTATAATTACAAAAATACCCCTTACTAGAAATTTAAGAAAATTTAAGTTTTTCTCAAAATAATTTTCGTTTTAGGAGCTCACTCACTTTAGACTATGTCTAGATGTTGTTCCTATATTTTGCTAGAATGAATATCCATTGTGGTGGAAGTTTCTATTCCAAATCGTGTCACTAGAAGCAAGTCTATACAATATTACTTACCATATAGAAAATGATACATAAGACTTGAGCTGAAGTCTCTCGCAAAAATCTTTGTCCGAACCACGTCGCTAGAAGTTATATGTAAAATGATACAGAAGAAGTCTTCAAAAGTCTAATGTAAAAATCTCTATCCCAAACCGCGTCGCTAGAAACAAGTCTATACAGCATTACTTATCATATGAAAAATAATACAGTGGACTTGAGCTGAAACTTTCTGCAAAAATCTTTATCTAAATCATGTCGCTAGAAGCTGTATGAAAAATGAAATAGAAGACTTTACTTTTCTCAGTCCAAACCACGTAATTAGAAGTTATATGAAAAAAGATACGGAGCACTTTTGTCGCGAAAATCATTGCATCCGTAGAATGCAAAGTGAGTCCCATCTTCTGAATGCAAAACCACTGGGCATGATCATGTAGCATTAAATAATTGGGTACAAGCAAGTCCCAGGCCCAAAGTTGGAGTAAACACCCACAATATTGATTCTAATGGACTCGAATATTTAATCTCTTTTGGATAATGTCAGTGCATAAAAAATAAAAAAATAAAAATGTGAACCATGCAGACAATATAAGCTTGCCCTATGCCTCTTCGATCATTCTAATTTGTATTTAAATAAATCGGCTACAACATATAATTCTTGCAAAAAGCCAGTAATAACATATGATTGATTTTTCCAAAATATTTTACCACTAACCTGAATGAGTCTCTACCATTGGAATGAGAGAGAAATTAGAATACCTAAAATGATATTTGAAATCTTGGGGATGTGTTAGGTATGATTGTGGTGGCAAACTTGGATTCAATGAGAGATAAATTTGAAAGCTTGGGAATGTGTTAGATATGATGATAGATAGTGGGTACAACGATGATAACTATGAGCTCAATTCTTTAGCTGCAATGACAGAGTTAGACTGAAGTTTAGGTGGATGAAAATTGTTCTCTTAGTGAAGTCCATTCCAAATTAAATAAGAAAAATGATACTTTGGTAGAAGAGCCGAGGACCCAAACTGCGTCGTTGGAAATAAGTTCATATTTCCCCAAACTTACAACTGTATAGAAGTCTGATGCAAAAATCTCTCCCAAAACGGCGTCGCTACAAGAAAGCCCATACAACATTACTACTATATGAAAAATGATACATAAGACTTGAGCTGAAGTCTTCTGCAAAAATCTCTGTCCAAACTACGTTGTTAAAAGCTATATAAAAAATGATATAGAAGATTTGAAAAATCTAATGTGGAAATCTCTATTTAAATGATTTTATCATTAATGAGACGTGACATAATTAGCTTTCCTTTCTAGAGTTGAAATTATAATTGCTTGATGTTTAATTCGGTGTTTTATTTAATTATTTATTTTATTTTATCAGGGTTTTGCCAGTAAGCAAGATGAGGTTGATGGAGCCAACAAAAATAAAAGTAATGGCAGTAATTTAGTTGTTGATGGAATTCCATTACTTTTATTTAATTATTTGTTTTATTTTATCAAAGTTTTGCCAGTAAGCAAGATGAGGGATCCCTCGCAAAACAGGCAAAAACATTGTGACTTCTAATAAGGATTGGATGGGTTTTAGGTCTTCTGAGGTCATCTGGTTACGATCGATCCTACTTGAACCACAATCGATCTTGACATTCTACGATCGATAAATATTTGAATTTAAAGATTACAAAATATCTATCTAAGTAGCGTTCGACGAGTCTTTAAAGATTCGAATTCGTCAATAATAGATTCCAAGTCAATCTTAGAAACAAGCTCCCTTTCAAGATTGATGGTCATGCTGTCAGCAAGAAATCCATCACCAATCATGCTACACATCACTTTTTTTTACACGTTTCATGCTTGAGTAGGAGGCTGAGGTGGGCTAATACTATATATATATATATATGTATATTTTGGTGGGCTACAACCCACCCTCTATCCACCTTTGCCAATGAGGGATCTGGCAGGAGCTGTAACTGAGAGGTGAATGATTTGAGTTTGAAAAAAAGGATGTAAATCAGTAACTAGGGAGGAGAAGTCCAATGATTGTTGGAAATTAAGCTATCAACTCCAACAAAGGTGTCAAGTTGAAGAATTTTCATAGCATTGAGCTCCAACTAAGCAACAAGAGGTCCATTTGGCAGCCAATAATCCACTCACATCTGTGTGTCCTTGCCAGTCCCCACCCTTGTGTCTTATAAATCCCCTAGCCATACTCCTGAGACTAAGCAACCCTCTCCACACACCTGGGCTTAAAAAAGAAGTTTTGATTGTCCAAAAGTTCCTCCCCTTGATAAGATAACTGTGCACCCATGCCACCCATAGGCTTTCCTTTCTTCTTGCAAAGAGTTTCCACATATGCTTAAGGTTAGCCACTGGATTAGATAAGTCAAGAATGGGAAAATTCAAATCCAAAATAATTCCCAAAGGACGCTAGAAAATTCAAAGTCGCTGTTCTCTCAAAGCCCAGTTTTCTTGAGCCCATTTTGTGACCTTATCCAAGGAACCCTTACTCTTCAAACCCAATTTGGAAGAAGCTAACTTAGCCTGACCAACATTTAGTCAATCACCCAATGTTTATCTTCCTGAGCAAAAATAACACACAGCCCAAAATTCAATTCCTACAGAACCCAATTTCTCCTGGACCCTTGTACAACCCAACCCAATTTTCAAATGCGCCAGCATAAATAGACAAACTCAATAAATAGTCCCTGTCCTCCATTTTTTTCCCAAAGCTTTAACAAACTGCAAAACTATTGAAGCCAAGACGAAAGGTCGACCTATCATTGTAAAGAGATAGCAAAAAACATTAATCCTAAGCGCATACGGACATCTCAATAATGTGTGATCAACAGATTCCACCTCGAGGCCACACCTCAAAAACCAATCATTCTCTACCATACATTTCTTCTTCAAATTGGCCGAAAAGTGGATCAACTTGCCTCTGCTTTTAATCTTCCAGAGCTTGTTTCAGAAACCGTATACAATTTGAACCTCTGCTAGTCTATCTGCATAGTTCCTCTGATGTGCAAGCTCTTGCACTCAATCAAAAGCAATTCTATACGTGGATTCCACCATAAATTTCCCATCAACTGACAAATGCCATACTTTCTTATCAGTGGCCATGGTTTCACTCACAATTAAACTGGCCTAAATTAACTGTGTTATTTTTGTTGGTATCTTCACTAGCTTTAGGGACTAATACAATATTAGTGGAATTAGTCCAGTGAGTAAGAAGTCATTAAACGCCCCTGTGATTCATCTCTGTAGCTTCTTTTAGAAGTTGTTGTTGATTCATCTCATGTGTTATTTTTGACTCCAAAAAGACTCCACTAATTCTCACCACAATGGTTAATTATACACAAACAAGTTACTCTTTTGTTTCTTTCTCTCTCAAGTCATGTGTGAACTCAGAAGATCTAAAATCATGTAATTAATATGTAATGAATTCAAAACTAATGTATAATTAATGTGCAGAGTTATTGTAGAATAACTTGTGTAATTAATGTAAAATATTTAAAGTCGTGTAGCATTTGGATCATTTTGGGCCCATTAAACCATGCAATAAAAAGCATTTACATGTGTGTGTGTGTGTATATATATAAATACATATTTATGTTAGTAATTATATATTTTTGTTTTTAATATTTTACAAATACTAGTTCTCACAATCTACCCTTGTGAAAAATAAATAAATAAAAAATAAAAAAAATTCATCCTCGAAATAAAAATTTATGTGCCATCAACCTTTTCTTCTAAGCGATGTGGGACAACACAATCATCAACTTTGTCCATGCTACCCCATTTTCGACTTGAAATTGGTCCTGATACCACTTTGTCACACCCCAATTTTTGAGACATGATAAAATAATATAATGCGAGTAAAAAATAAAACTATATGTAATGAAATAAAATAATTTCTTTTAACATTAAACATATTCTTCTTTCTTATTACGATTTTAACATATAAAAAAATCTCATAAAACTCATCAAGTGAGCCTTAATTCATTGCTTTTGAAATAATATTGGGATGAACAAAACTGTCCAATAGGAAAAGAACTTTAAATTTTTATATACAAGAAGATATAACCATCTATAATTAAAAGCAAAATTAAAATAT